TTTGTACCAATTGATCAAACATCATTCATAACAATGGTTTCTCATATTTTATTTTATTAAAAGACAAAATATATCAAGGCGTGTCCTGCTGTTTTCAAAAAGCAAAATATCTTATTCTAGTCCGTTGCATACTTATTTCCGAGTTGCCTTTACGTGTAAGTCCTGCAATGTTTAGTTGTCATGTGAGGGTGAATATTTGAAACAAACAACAGACTGTATTCAATCCCATTATAGACACTTACAATTGATCAGCACAAGGTACTGTACGTAGTCAATCATCGAAACAACACACAGCAAGACAGCCCATTTATCAGGCTCGTCAGTTTGGGAATAAATTAACACCAAGAAAACATCTCTACAACGTATATGAGTCCAGGGATAAACCGTGCGATGTGAAACTTATAACAATGTTTCCTCAGCCATCATAGGGTTGCAGGCCAGCAAGCCCTTTGAGTGGTACGCACTAGCTGCTATAATTTTACACATGACTACTTTCTTGTAATGAGTGTTTTTCTTCCAGGATAATGAGGGACTACACGGCTCCTTGTTTATTAATACTGGAACAGTGCTCCCTCTGGCTTTGAAACAAACTCTAAAAATCACCAGTCCCCACTAATTTTTGTCAGTCCCAACTTTCAACAAATAAAAAAACATATGTAAGTTACCTGGTTTTAATTCATTCAACATCATGTTAAATGCAATGACGTCATCTCTGAAGGAACTTAGATCAACACGTCATTCACACAAATTTCAGTCACAAGTTTCTGAGTTTCTTTTAATGCTTCAAGGCTAAGATGCTACAAATATATTTAACCTCAAAACAAAGTGAAATGTTATTTCCTTGCACTAACTAATGCTTCAAGGCTAAGACGCTACAAATATATATTTAACCTCAAAACAAAGTGAAATGTTATTTCCTTGCACTAACAATAGACAAAGGGTAAACCCTGATGGTAACAGACAAGCTGTCACTTCGTTCGAAAAATATACTTATATGAATATCGCCGATGTTCTGTTCAACAACAAAGATTAATAAGGTACTATATTTGCCGGTCCACAGGGACTGGCAGTCACATGAATTGCCCGTCCAAGCCTAACTTTACCAGTAAAACAATGGTAATTGCCAGTAAACGGGAACACTTCTGGAAAGAGACAATACCTTATCTGAGGCCAGCCAAGCCAGTGTAATTACTTGGTTTGCAGAGTGAGTGAGTGAGTGAGTGAGTGAGTGAGTGAGTGAGTGAGTGAGTGAGTGAGTGAGTGAGTGAGTGAGTGAGTGAGTGAGTGAGTGTGAGTATGGTTTTACGCCGCTTTTAGCAATATTCCAGCAATATCACGACGGGGAACACCAGAAATGGGCTTCACACATTGTACCCATGTCAGGAATCAAACCCGGGTCTTTGGCGTGACGAGCGAACGCTTTAACCACTAGGCTACCCGACCACCCCCTTGGTTTGCAGAACCATCAGTCACTTTTGGCCAACAGTATATTTTTTTACCAATCTTGTAACAGAAATAATGGTGCCTCATGAACACTGTGGGCTGTGCCCTTGCACCATACACGCACTGAGCAATGAAATGGCACATTCAATTTAGCAATAGCCCTTGTAGAGTGCCAGAATCGCAGAGGGTGCAATACATGTTATAATCCAGGCCTTCAAACTTCATAAATCATACTTGGTTTGCTTATTGCAATTCGCAAAAGATTACAGATTGTTTACAAAAAAGCTCCAGTTATCTGTTCTCCACAGTCCGGAAGAATCGCTAATAATCATTTTCTCTGTGTTATATAGAAATACTTTGAACTAGTCTACTCTGAATGACAATTGCTTCTGCGCAACACACAGTGATCCCAAGTCAAGTCAGTCTCGCTGTTGGCGGGACCCTCTTCAGGTCCCTGGGGGGGATGGTATTCGGACAAGGGCCCATTGAAAGGAGGCAACAGGGCCTGGAGGCACATTTACATTTTTTACCCAGAGTGAACCCTGGTGTCGAGTGGCTAATCTGATGTGAAGGACAGCATTACTTTCAGCAAAAACTGAACCCAAGAAGGTGCGCCTGTGTTATAAATAAAGAATAAAATATCAGACACAATGCAGTAATAAGGATAGTCCTTGATTTTTTTATTTAAAAAAGATTATTTAAAAGGCAACTTGGCAGTGAGTCAAACAAATAATTCAATTGGCCAGGGCTTACTTATGTTCGAAACTAATAGTCGCAATACACAATTTGGGGGCCTTTAAGGTAAGAATTGTGTTTTTACTGGTAGGCAAAGTTTTTTCTTACTTTCAGATAAAGGGATTGGACCAACCTCCATAATAAGAAAATAAAAACACAGTTGAGATATAGTTTGATCTGCCCAACCTCTCAGTCATTCATAGATGAGATAAAGCAAAAAGTTACAACCACAAACAACATAAAATTGATTCTTAACTTTTCATATAACAATTGATGAAATACGCTGTGTACGTAGCCAGTGCAGAGCTCCCCAGACAGAAGAAAGACCCCCCAGAAGTAGACATGTAAACTTGTACCTACAAGAATACAAGCCATCCTGCACAATATTAGCATGGTTTTTTTCCCCATTAAACTGTCCAACCCAGAAAGCTTTCTGCCAATAAATTCAAAACATAATGATTTCCACAAATTTATCTTAGTCCATAAACCATAAAAAAGAATAAGTTATCTCTCCGATGATATTTGTTTTAAAAGTGCAAACAGTTTGTGTAATGTATATCTGCTGCAGAAATCATTTTCCCTAACAACAAAAGACAAGATTCATTTGCAGTGTCATGGCAGAATACATTAATGTTGGTCAACTTTAAGTTAGATATTTAACAAGATGTAATATTTGATGTTGAAATTAAATCTCTTTTGGGAAGCACAACCTGCCATCGTTCATCATGATAATGTACAGGAACGTTAGTTTGGTGTTGTTCATCATGGTTTGGGTTGGGTTTGTTGTTTAACGCCGCACTCAGCAATATTCCAGCTATATGACAGCGGTCTGTAAATAATCGAGTCTGGACCAGACAATCCTGTGATTGACAACATGATCATCGATCCATGCAATTGGGACCAATGACATGCATCAACCAAGTCAGCGAGCCTGACCACCCGATCCCGTTAGTCGCCTTTAACGACAAGCATAGTCGCCTTTTACGGCAAGCATGGGTTGCTGAAGACCTATTCTACCCCAGGTCTTCACTGGCCTGTTCATCATGATAATCTACAGGAACGTTAGTTTGGTGTCGTTCATCATGATAATCTACAGGAACGTTCGTTTGGTGTCGTTCATCATGATAATCTACAGGAACGTTAGTTTGGTGTCGTTCATCATGATAATCTACAGGAACGTTAGTTTGGTGTCATTCATCATGAAAATCTACAGGCACGTTAGTTTGGTGTCGTTCATCATGATAATCTACAGGAGCGTTAGTTTGGTGTTGTTCATCATGATAATCTACAGGCACGTTCGTTTGGTGTCGTTCATCATTATAATCTACAGGAACGTTAGTTTGGTGTCGTTCATCATGATAATCTACAGGCACGTTAGTTTGGTGTTGTTCATCATGATAATCTACAGGCACGTTAGTTTGGTGTCGTTCATCATGATAATCTACAGGAACGTTAGTTTGATGGGGTCTGTAAATAATTGAGTCTGGATAAGATGTTCCAGTGATTAACATATATAGCTAAGGTATCATAAGAACGAGTAGAAATTAGTCATTTTAAAGGGTTTTTCTGTATATATCTTTGTCAGGACAAGTAGTTTGCTGCCACAAGTCATTTTGTATACTTCATGCAAAGGTAGGCTAATTGTACCTGTGGCACTCATGTGTACAACAATGAGCTCAGGGGACATTGTGGAAAGCAACTGAACACTCTCCTTGGGGTAATCATATTGGCTACAGTATTAGCTGGATCAGTGGCCTCCAAGGCCGGGATATGGTTGACTTAATGTGTCTTGGTCCCCCCGCACTCCCCCTCCCCCTCACGAATGGATCAGTGCCCACCTGTTAAGCACTGACTTTCCTCCTGACACTGTGTGTCACTGTACTTATAGCATCAAAAGTCTGCTTATTCGTAACAACATAGGTGAGGCGACATGGGGTTTACGCCGCGGTCAAGATTATAGCACATATATTGTGACGTGCATGCACATGTGAGCATGTGTGTGTCTGCTTGTACTACTCCGCACTGAAGCCGGTTTTATAGTGCTATCCCACTGAATTACCATGCTGCTGTCTTAACAGTGATAACCGACACAGATGCAGAAACTAACTCTGAGCCAACCAATTCTCGTTTTTTTTCCTTTCATGCTGTGTGCGAGTCATGGTAACAACAAGTACCATCTCTGCCTGTCTTTTGGTATGTCACAGCCAGGGATCAGACCACTGATCTTCTAGCCACTAGACCACAGAGGTGGTCAACCACATCGTAACATATTTGCCAGGACATACAAAGCTCATAATCAGGGACCGCACTACTGATCTTCTAGCCACTAGACCACAGAGGTGGTTGACCACATCGTAACATATTTGCCAGGACATACAAAGCTCATAATCAGGGATCGGACCACTGATCTTCTAGCCACTGGACCACAGAGGTGGTCGACCACATCGTAACATATTTGCCAGGACATACAAAACTCATAATCAGGGAGCAAGCCAGTGAATCCTGGGTCCCACAAAGTGATCGTAGAAATACAGGGCCCACTTGTGCAAAGCGATCTTAGCGCTACGACTATCGTAAGCCTATGTTAAAGTATGGGAGTTACGATCATCTCAGCGCTAAGATTGTTTTGTGTAAGTGGGCCCTGTACTTAAACAAACTTATGACAGAAGGAGCACTAGAATCGATTCGTGAAATGGGTCCCAGACACTAAAGGGGCACAACTCCGGGCTTCCTTGAGGAATGGATCAAAGGCCGCTGTACAGCATGACAGGACGATGCATGGCTGGACGGCCTACATCCTCTCAGGGTAAATGCAGACATACCTGGTAATTTCTTCTTTCAACTTGCAGGGGTCGGCAGCGTAGAACTTGACGCCAAAGTAGAATGTGTAGGGTGTGCTGCAGCCTGCAAAACACAAAATGCCATCAGACCACTGCAAGCTTAAATGTCATTCTCTAAGTCTGTGTATACACAAACGTCTTCATGCCATTCAACACTTCACCAATAAAGCAGTTAGTTGTTTTTTTACACAGCTTTGTATATTATTTCAGTGAGAGAGTGAATGAATATGACTTAATGCCAGACCAGCAATATTGCAGCTATTGAGCCAATCACAGCAAGTATTTTTTCAGTGTTGTCACAGTGGGCAGGCAAAATGTGGGAGGAAAGCCTGGAGTCTTGAAAGTCCCCGACACTTACAAACCAAGAACATTGACCACACCAAATGTGGGACTAGAGCCCACAAACACAGGATCCTGACACACCTGAGGGACACAACTCTGCACAGCATATTGCAGCAATGCATGAGATTCCAACATATAAACTGAGACACAATAAAAGTGAAATCAGCTCCTTTGCGATATTAACTACCGGTAAAAATTCTCTTTTAAAAAGCATCACCATTCATTTCTGGAAATTATTGATTTCAGTGAGGATTGCCATCATTTCATGAGTTACATAATGACGTCTGTGTGGCCTCAGTCTATCCATAGCAGCATTGTTGAAACAATTTGTCCCATCCTTTATCATCATAACGTTAAATGTCCAGCAACCAATGCTGAAGTTACAATATATATGACCTGAAGGATCTATTCCCAAACGAAGGCCAGAAACAATCCTAACTTTCAAAGCCCATCTCTCCATTATCTTGCTCATTTGTCTAACATATTTCCTCGTTACCGAGTTGTATTTGATTTTAGACATTAAGAGCCTAGCTTGTCCCCTTGGTGCCGCTCACTGCATACTCCAGTAATGTAGAAACTGAATGTAATTCCGATCAATAGTCTTTTGTTCTTATCTCCACAAAGTATCTGTGTGTCGGAACACCCCAAGTGAGGACCACGGTGCTAATGCACACAAGGCTTTGATAATGTAAATAATGCAATTATCAAATGCATCATATCGAACCTTTACACTTTTTGTAGAAGTGATCTGTCTTCAAATGCAATTACTTTCTTCAACAAAATTATCTGTTTGAATATCAAACTTATTAGTTTCAATGCTTCAAATTAGGTGAAAATGGACAAATGTTTTATCTGTGTCTCTCAAGGATTCTCTTAAGTTGAGAAACTTTGATTAAGAACGGACTGTCTTGTGTAGAGAGGTCACATGATTACTTTAGCCTATATTTGTGTTGCTTTCTTCAACCTCCTACAAAAGTTATACAAATTGGCATATCTGAAATTTGTTTTCAAGAATTGACATATTAATTTTAAAATTTCACTTTTTAATCTCATCAGGCCAAAAGAATCAACCATCTCCTTGCTGGTAAAAAGCATCAGGAAAATCTTTCAAAGTCCAAAGCTGTGCTCTCAGTAAATAAATCTGGCAGCAACTTGCTGGCTTGACAAACAGTTGGAAATAGAATGTGTTTTCTGTGCGCTTGGGAATCTGCTTTGTGAAACTGCCTCCCCTACAGAGATACTTAGAGGCCTAATTGCCTCTATGTCAGCTGAACCACGCGTCAATCTCTCCTACTCCTCACAATGCACACACAAAATAGTCCACCAGTCTGCATCTAATGACACTAAATATAACATCCCATCGCATACCAACTGATACACAGGGATACATCAAGAATGTTCATTAAAATTTCATGCAAAAGTTGAAAAAAAATAATTACTTTCAGTATTTTTAAGGAGGCTCATTTCCAGCAGAAACATCCAAGGGACTACATACCAATGTCCCCTTACAGCTAGTACCTGGTGGTCCCCTTACAGCTGGGTCCCCTTACAGCCAGTACCTGGTGGTCCCCTTACAGCCAGTACCTGGTTGGTCCCCTTACAGCTAGTACCTGGTGGTCCCCTTACAGCCAGTACCTGGTTGGTCCCCTTACAGCTAGTACCTGGTTGGTCCCCTTACAGCTAGTACCTGGTTGGTCCCCTTACAGCTAGTACCAGGTTGGTCCCCTTACAGCTAGTACCTGGTTGGTCCCCTTACAGCCAGTACCTGGTTGGTCCCCTTACAGCCAGTACCTGGTTGGTCCCCTTACAGCTAGTACCTGGTTGGTCCCCTTACAGCTAGTACCTGGTTGGTCCCCTTACAGCTGGGTCCCCTTACAGCCAGTACCTGGTTGGTCCCCTTACAGCTAGTACCTGGTTGGTCCCCTTACAGCCAGTACCTGGTGGTTCCCTTACAGCCAGTACCTGGTGGTCCCCTTACAGCTAGTACCTGGTTGGTCCCCTTACAGCCAGTACCTGGTGGTTCCCTTACAGCCAGTACCTGGTGGTTCCCTTACAGCTAGTACCTGGTGGTCCCCTTACAGCCAGTACCTGGTGGTTCCCTTACAGCCAGTACCCGGTTGGTCCCCTTACAGCCAGTACCTGGTGGTCCCCTTACAGCTAGTACCTGGTTGGTCCCCTTACAGCCAGTACCTGGTGGTTCCCTTACAGCCAGTACCTGGTGGTCCCCTTACAGCCAGTACCTGGTGGTTCCCTTACAGCCAGTACCTGGTGGTTCCCTTACAGCTAGTACCTGGTGGTTCCCTTACAGCCAGTACCTGGTGGTTCCCTTACAGCCAGTACCTGGTGGTCCCCTTACAGCTAGTACCTGGTTGGTCCCCTTACAGCCAGTACCTGGTTGGTCCCCTTACAGCCAGTACCTGGTTGGTCCCCTTACAGCCAGTACCTGGTTGGTCCCCTTACAGCTGGGTCCCCTTACAGCCAGTACCTGGTTGGTCCCCTTACAGCTGGGTCCCCTTACAGCCAGTACCTGGTGGTTCCCTTACAGCTAGTACCTGGTGGTTCCCTTACAGCTGGGTCCCCTTACAGCTGGGTCCCCTTACAGCCAGTACCTGGTGGTTCCCTTACAGCTAGTACCTGGTGGTCCCCTTACAGCCAGTACCTGGTTGGTCCCCTTACAGCTGGGTCCCCTTACAGCCAGTACCTGGTTGGTCCCCTTACAGCCAGTACCTGGTTGGTCCCCTTACAGCTGGGTCCCCTTACAGCCAGTACCTGGTTGGTCCCCTTACAGCTGGGTCCCCTTACAGCCAGTACCTGGTGGTTCCCTTACAGCTAGTACCTGGTGGTTCCCTTACAGCTGGGTCCCCTTACAGCCAGTACCTGGTGGTCCCCTTACAGCTAGTACCTTGTGGTCCCCTTACAGCAAGTACCTGTTTGGTCCCCTTACAGCTAGTACCTGGTGGTTCCCTTACAGTTGGGTCCCCTTACAGCCAGTACCTGGTTGGTCCCCTTACAGCTAGTACCTGGTGGTTCCCTTACAGCTGGGTCCCCTTACAGCCAGTACCTTGTGGTCCCCTTACAGCCGGTACCCGGTTGGTCCCCTTACAGCTGGGTTCCCTTACAGCCAGTACCTGGTTGGTCCCCTTACAGCTGGGTCCCCTTACAGCCAGTACCTGGTGGTTCCCTTACAGCTAGTACCTGGTGGTTCCCTTACAGCTGGGTCCCCTTACAGCCAGTACCTGGTTGGTCCCGTTACAGCTGGGTCCCCTTACAGCCAGTACCTGGTTGGTCCCCTTACAGCTAGTACCTGGTTGGTCCCTTACAGCCAGTACCAGGTTGGTCTCCTTACAGCTAGTACCTGGTTGGTCCCCTTACAGCCAGTACCTGGTGGTTCCCTTACAGCTAGTACTTGGTTGGTCCCCTTACAGCCAGTACCTGGTTGGTCCAGTATCTGGTTGGTCCCCTTACAGCTAGTACCTGGTTGGTCCCCTTACAGCCAGTACCAGGTTGGTCTCCTTACAGCTAGTACCTGGTTGGTCTCCTTACAGCCAGTACCTGGTTGGTCCCCTTACAGCCAGTACCAGGTTGGTCTCCTTACAGCTAGTACCTGGTTGGTCCCCTTACAGCCAGTACCTGGTGGTTCCCTTACAGCTAGTACCTGGTTGGTCCCCTTACAGCTAGTACCTGGTTGGTCCCCTTACAGCTAGTACCTGGTTGGTCCCCTTACAGCTGGTACCTGGTTGGTCCCCTTACAGCCAGTACCTGGTTGGTCCCGTTACAGCCAGTACCAGGTTGGTCTCCTTACAGCTAGTACCTGGTTGGTCCCCTTACAGCCAGTACCAGGTTGGTCTCCTTACAGCTAGTACCTGGTTGGTCCCCTTACAGCTAGTACCTGGTGGTCCCCTTACAGCCAGTACCTTGTGGTCCCCTTACAGCCAGTACCCGGTTGGTCTGGGCAGTTTAGCAAGGACTATAGCACTAGTGCCAAATGCTTGCACAGGAATACATCCAGGGTTAGAAATTGGCACTAGTCTGAAAACTGAAAAGCTTTACTAGCTTTGGTAAAGATAAAAGGCCCTTATAATGTTAAAACAAAAACAATTAGTGAAATTAGGATGTTTGTAAGAGCCCCCATGAATTTATACCAGCCCTGGGCTGATGGGCTAGCGTTAGGTTGTAACCCTGAGGTTACAATCAGAAGAGAGTGACAAAGTCAAGGGGACTGTGTAACAATCCCAACATAAACATCTTTGGTTAACTCTGGATCTCACCTTTGAGTTGTGACGCGATGGACTTGCTCTCCTCTAGCCAGTGCTGGAAGACAATGGAACACACATAAATGACACATACAGATCAATGTGGCCTTCTCATAAAGCATAACAGTAGAGGGGGAGGATGGGGTTCTTGTACAGGTAGAGGGTGTCTCTGACACCGATATTTCCCAGTTCCTCGATGTATGTTGTGTCAGGGCATGCTGACCATGCCGACAGCTCTCTGCAGCAGCACATTACATCAGGTATGTGAAGCGTGGCAGGGAGCAGGTGCTCAGGACGAGGAAACCAGAGACAGCCGAGGGGGGCTACCATGGGCCTGGCAACTCCATCTTGATGCAGTGACTGACACAAGGACGCACAACTTGAAATGAACAGTAGCAGAAAGACTGGAGAATCCATTGCTCTCTCACCCTGAAGACAACTCTTGTGGTGTGGACATGGTGCCAAGCGTAACAATAACCCGAGGCATGGGTACGTAGCTCACCTTCTGCCAGTGAGTGAGTCACAGTAAGTTAAAATTTAAAGTCACATCGGCAGTATTTCAGCCATATCATGACTATCAAAGGTAAGACATAAGAAATACATCTAAATAAAATCCTTTCGACGAAGTACAGTAGAATAACTAGAATATCACAGATTTTAACTCTAGTTTGAGAACATGTAAAAATAAACTATCATTCAACAACACTTATAAAAACAGGCTATAGATCACCAGCAATTGTAGGTAGATCAGCATACTAATTCTAACAAAGCATCCATACTTACAGTTTGGCCCCGATTATCCACATATCTGACTCCAAAGTAGTCCTTCTCAAACAGGTTCAGATGGTCAAACACCTTCTCCAGGAGCTGGTATCCCTTGGAGCTGCCCTGGAACAAGAGAAGGGTTTACTTACTGAGTCTCCTTCCTAGTTTCTACATCACGCATGGTTCTCACATAGGTGAGGTCAAATGGGGTTTAACGTCGCGTCCAAGATTTTTAACGTCTTTTGGTATGATGCGGCCGGGGATCGAACCCCGAACCTTCCGCTCTCCAGGCGGACGCTCTACCACGAGATCACGGACGCGGGCTCTCACATGGGAGTATCTCCGAACAATGGTGACAGGTAGATCCGGGGAGAGAATAGGTGAAGCAAGTCATAAGACTTACGAGATCAGGTGGTCGGGCTCGCTGACTTGGTTCATACATGTCATCGTCTCTCAATCGTGTGGATTGATGCTCATGATGTTAATCACAGGATTGTTTGACCGCCATCCATTAGCTGGAATATTGCTGAGTGCGGTGTTAAACAACAAACAAACAAACAATACTGGCAGAGATCCAGATGACACTCACTGATGGAAATCTGGTCCTATGTTAATACCATGGGTTGACCTACCTGCCTAAACGTTTCTACATGAGCTGATTCTTTTGCATGTCCTTGAGAAATTTCTTGTATATAGCTACCGAGACAGATATCATTGATAATTACAGTTATGTTATGTGTTTCTATTATCCTCATCAACAGAGATGTGCCTCTGAGGGAAATCTAGTGTGTTCACAACATTACTCAACAGGTAATCTTTGGTGTGCATACATTTCCTTCACTATTTCTGCCAAGTTTCAATGATTTGGATAAATGTGAAAAGAATTTATTAGCAATTAACGAACACATCATTTAGATGGGCATTCAACTCCTTAGACGCTGTAAAGCTCTGTTGGTGAGAGTTTGTGACATTGCCATGGGTAGAACTTAACTACTTTGTGTCTTCAATGACACAAGTCAGACAAGTCCTCTCTTTCACTACGTGTTCCTTCAACTTGTTCCCTCCCAGGATCAGACAAACTACCTTCCTGTTCTTCACACAAGGTAACCTGTGAAGATCCGGGGCAGAATAGGACTTCAGCAACCCATGTTTGCCGTAAAAGGTACATTCAAGGCTCCACACAACCCTTACGTTGTTCTCACTGAACTGAACTTCAAACTCTCACACTCCAACACCCCTACCTATTTCAAGTGTCTAGTCTCAGCTACAGAGTAACTATTAGAACTGGTGCACACATCCACTGCTCAGCAATGAGAAAGCTTCTCTTGTCTCCTGATCTATACAATATGTACAGATTTCCGTATCAACCTATCTGAGACAATATTTGTATTTGCAAGTAGTGACAGGGTTGAATGACCCCCTGTTGGTGGTGTTAGTACATCTGTTTAAGTCAACATGATAGAGAGGATGTTACAAGAAGCCGTTATACTGTACAGAGAGTAAGCTACAAAAGGAATGTGATAGTGTACAAGGCAGCGGCCAGATGCTCAAAGGCTTGTGTTTGCTCTCCCCCAGTCAGAGCGTGATGAGACTAAAGTTGTCGTGTCAGCTTTCAATATAAGCAGCCTGTCGACACTGACATACATTGTGCTGAACAATTAACCCCGCCAACACTAGGGCATCAAACATGATAGTGCATGACTGTGTCAACCAGCTGAAAACATCCCTTGTAACACAGGAGGATAAGCTCAACACCGCCAGATGCATCAGCTCAATACCGTCAAATGCATCAGCTCAACACATCCCTTGTAACATAGGTGGACCAGCTCAACACCGTCAGATGCATCAGCTCAACACATCCCTTGTAACATAGGTGGACCAGCTCAACACCGTCAGATGCATCAGCTCAACTACGTCAGATGCATCAGCTCAACTACGTCAGATGCATCAGCTCAACACCGTCAGATGCATCAGCTCAACACCGTCAGATGCATCAGCTCAACACCGTCAGATGCATTAGCTCAACACCGTCTGATGCATCAGCTCAACACCGTCAGATGCATCAGCTCAACACATCCCTGAGTAGTACATTGTCTGTATACAATACCATAACAGAGTGGTATACTGTCTGTATACAATACCATAACAGAGTGGTATATTGTCTGTATACAATATCATTAACAGAGTGGTATATTGTCTGTATACAACACTGTAACGGAGGTACATTGTCCATATACAATACCATAACAAAGTGGCATATTGTTTATATACAATACCATAACAGAGTGGTATATTGTCCGTATACAATATCATTACAGAGTGGTATACTGTCTTTATGCAATACTATAACAGAGTGGTATATTGTCTACATAAAATACCATAACAGTTGTTTTGCTTGTTGTTTAACGCCGTACTTGATCCCGTTAGTCACCTCGCTCTAACGACAAGCATGGGTTCCTGAAGACCTATTCTAACCCAGATCTTCATGGGTACAACACTAAAACAGAGTTGTATACTATCTGTATACAATACCATAAGAGAGTGGTATACTGTCTATATACAATACCATTACAGAGGTACATTGCCTATACACACAATGATAACAGAGAGGGATATTGTAATATACACTATTACAGGGCCATACTGTGCATATAAACTAGGAGGCAGTTTGGGCCAGCTACTTCAGTGGGCTGCCATTAGCTCGACATATCAAGATACAAGTACTCAGAGGTGTAGGGCCTGCACTGTAAATACATTACTGCTATTGAAAGTTCACGAGACTGAAATCAATAACCGCCAAACCTATCTGACCCTGTATTGCCTAAAGCTGAACTTGCAACTACCCTGCAGTCTTCAGAATAGGTTAAATTAATTACTCCCATTTTAAACTTTAACTATCCATAAAAAAATTGATTTCATAAAACAGAAAACACGAACAGTACCGCTCCTCGAAGTTGCTGGTTCACTGAAATATTTACAGCTTCTGGACTGAACAATCAGCTGATTGTTGAATACCCGCCAAGTGCTTGTCAACGGATCCTAATTCATGCTACATGGAGAGGAGGACAGCACGGCAGGGATCTACCCTGTATGTATCTACTTCAACAGAACAGACAGTCAGAGGTTATATAGCAACCTATGTATGTACAAGGGATTGGGGTGAATGGGGTCTTAAGCTGTACACAGAAAACTGGAGCTGTCGAGAAATTGGACCTGGATCCAACAAACTAGGTACTCATGTCAGCGTCTTCAACAAAGCAGATAGTCAGAAATATGGCCTAGGTTGGTATGAGATTGTAATGTCACTGTTAACCTTCTTGTACCTCACAGGCAGCTTGGGTTGTATACTCCCCAGGGAGAAGAGAATGAAAACAGTGCATACCGTTCCATTATCAGGGGCAATAATAATTTTGCGCCATGAGCATACGCTTGAATGAAATCTGGCACATGTGAATTTGGAATTCAGCATTGACAGCATACTCAAGCTCACATTAAGTTGGCAAAGCCTGGTGGTTAAAGTGTTCGATCATCATGCACAGGCCCAGGTTCGACATTCGCCACACGGGCAAAAAGTGTGAAGTCCATTTCTGCTGTCTCCCAAACAACCATTTGATCAGGAAACTCTAGGCATAGTCATCACTCATTGTCATTGTTTCTCAGAGGTAGACTACAGGTCAGTAACCCATTTCTTAATTTGGGTTTATGTGAAAAATCAAGTTGTCCCTACAGATGTCCTCTGATTTCAAGGCTGGAAGACTGATTCCTGGTCGAGGCTAACCCTGGTTCTTCAAAACTACCTTTACCAGAATCAGAGCATTCAATATGTTCAGAACTGGATCCAGAAATGTGTATCTATGTCGCGACTGTATTGCAGGTTCGTAGTTGACCAGTGCAAGCGTCCTACGAGTGTAAACCACCCATGCACAACAAGAACACATTTCATTATCCAACTGAAATCAGACTGCAAGTCAGTCTCACATTACAAACCCTTTCAGAAACACTGGAAGGACAAGAAAATCATTTTATGAACACAAAGGCACCATGACATTTGAAGTTTTCATTGTGTGCCTTATCAAGTAAATAAATCTCTGTTGGTCTCCTGCCCTCTCCTTTCATGGGAGGCAATGACTTGGGAACCCCCCTCCCCAGGAGACAACCATCTACCCCAGTTGTACCTGTACAATACACCCCCCACCGCAAGAGGCGACTTACGGGATCAGATGGACAGGCTTGCTAACTTGGTTGATGCAAGTCATCATATCCCAATTGTGTGGATCAATGTACATGATGTCAATCTATGGATTGTCTGGTCCAGACTTGATTATTTACAGACCTCTGTCATATAGCTGAAATACTGCAGAGTGCGGCGTTATATAAACAAAAAAACATAACAAAAAAAAAACAGGACATTTTATCTCTTGGCTACAAAAGACCCTTACAGATAAACACATAAATACAATTCAAAATAGGAATAGCATAAAGTCTTTTGGCAGACGCGAAGGAAACTGGTGTTACCTGGGCAGAAGGACTCCCCTCACAAATATGTCCAACAGTCACAAACCTACAGCATAGGATATATATTATCACCTGAATTAGATCACTTCCTCAGGTGTGACACATGTAACAGTATTATGACCTGCAGTGAAATCTATATAGAGTGCTCGTTAAACAGGTGTGATATCTGAGTACCGGTGAACACCTCCGGGGTCATCACCCTGCCCATTCACCCACTTCCACAGTCTGGCATTTTCAAGGTCACTTCAATATTTGTAACATGTCTACATAACATTGACATTTCAAAATAATTTCAATCGAACATGACTTTTCGGGATTCATATTTCAACTACAGCAGGCAGTGAGCTGCCAGATGTCTCAATGACAGGGATATCCGTCTCACTGTAGTCACGTCATCTGGTTGACAATTCTTATAACTTCTGCTAAAATCAATTACCTCCCTTTATGCCCCAGCTCGGGAGAGTTGTGGTACAGAGAAATTGTCATGTGAGCATCATTGACAAGATATAAAGAAAGCTGTAGAACCAACAGCAGGGTTTTACCTTGACTTACTAAGTGAGGGTCCAGGGGACCCCTGATAATTCATTCTGAGGATCGTAGCTGGCAAT